TGATCTTTCTCATTTCATTGATCAATCGCATAAGTCTGATCTAGGTGTCTTCCAGCGACTCTCCAAGTTTGGCTTTGAATGAATCATAACCAATAAAGGTGTTTGCTTTCTTAGCTTTCACTCCGATCTCAGTTCCTTGCATGATCTTAAAGATCTCATCCCATATCTCTTTAAGTTCACATGCTATCAATCGGCATATAGATGTCGTTCGGGATGGCCTGCAGTAGATACGTCTTTGTCAGGAGATCTGCTCGGAGTCTTTCTCTGTCATCATCGTCATACTCGATCTTCTTCAGTCTTTGGCATTTGGTTTTCACCAACTGGGGGTTGTTATCTTCAATTCTGTCGACAACGATCATTAACTGAGTAGGACCATTTGTGATAGAGTCCAACAGTCTGGAGGATTGGTCCTTGCTCTCAAGAAAGTTCAGAAATATGTTCTTCCTGACATTGTATTCACCTCTTCACAGTATCGGGGGCCTTGTGTTGTTGCCAATTGATAGAGCGTCCATGTTGGAATTGATCGGGATGATAAGTTGATTGACAAAATGTTCCTGTTTTTGCTTAAGTAAAACTTCACGCAGAAGGTTCATACACTTGCAGGGGTTCGCGCACGAGGTAGGGATTGCGCACAACATGGAATCACACACGGAGCTACTTCACGCACGAAACTTTAGCGCACAAGGAAGATTACGCACGAGCACTTTGCGCACCGGGTTTCGTTGATTGCACACAGCTTGTTTACGCAGGAGTGGTTTGGGGACGGCTGTTTTTCTCGCACGGAGTTTGCGCGCAAAGCTTTTGCGCACAAAGCTTTCACGCAGCTATTTTGCAAGAGACTTTGCGCACAACCCCTTTCATGCAGGAGAAGGAATTCACTCACAAAGACTTATGCGTGAAATGTTGTTTCACGCTGAAAGAGATGCGACAACTTGCAACTTCACTCTTCTTCTGTTGAATCTGTATGCGGCCAATAATGATGCAGATGATGCAGAAAATGAAGAACATCAATCAGCAATACATCATTCATTTTCCTGCAAAAACAACAAACAAAAACAACACAAGAATCACGCAAGAGGCAGAGAAAGTTCGCGTAGGTGAAATTTCTCCAGCTTCAATCGACCGATCAGCTCCGGATCTGATACCAGATGTTAGGTTCCTGTTTCTAAGCTATAGAAATGTAAAAATGGCACTCAAAGAGGTAATGTGAAGCTTTCCATTGATGGAGCAAAGGTTTACAAAAGGATGAAGAATATTAGCGTAAAACCTTCGTCTGGGTGTTATGCTCTGCGCACAGGTGGGGAATTTCAGGGAAAGCTTACCTATCCATTCCCCAAAGACATATTTATAGCCTTTTCGGAATGGTATGTTTACAATGATTGGGCTCCAACTTTGAGGAGGCTGATTTCCCTATTTATAGCCCTTTGCTCATTTATAGCTAATAAGTGCTATTCTACGCTTATTTAATTCTATAAGAGGTCTAATAAATTACATTGGTCACAACTATAAAATATCTCTAACAATATCCAAATTGAATATATATCCTTGCATTGGGCAATGACTTTGTGATCTATCTAGATATGAGAAGTAGAATGTTCTCTCTTAATCTATTACGAGGAATGAATCTTTTCTTGCTTCAACTACTACTACTTGTGCTTTATGATTCCCCCAATACCTGTCGTGTCTACCCCAGTTGGAGTGAAAATGTTGGTCATGATCAAACTGCATCAATTCACAAATGAAGTACGTATTGACCTCTAGTCGGAGGACTATTACACTTCTTTATACGTCGATAATCCCATATACATGAATATAACTTATCAAATGGTTTCTCGGTGGGTATGCCAGTAGTCTTTAAAATACACATGTGATCATCATGAATCACAATAACTCATAGTTGTGAGATCAACCATACTTTCTAAAAGTATGATGGAGTCCTTATACCAATCTTATCGCATATCATCAATATTATCAATTTTATCAATGATCATTGATCGGGGCTATTTTAGGATCCTACATTATATCACATAAGCTCACACTTACTTAGTGACAACATAAGTCCAAGGGAACACAATTATGAATAAAACATTGACAATCAAAACAATCATTCATAAAGGTGTAATACCGTATATTTGATATATACGGCGTATATATCAAATATAAAACTCAATATGATCAAATACATATGTCTCTAAAAAATGATTGTCGCTAGGAGATACACACTAACAATCTTCCACTTGGACTTGTGTCAATCACCAATGCATCTAACACCTAGATTATCAAAATGTCTAGTATGTTGCTCACAACTCAAAGATTTGGTGAAAGGATCAGCCAAATTGTCGTTAGTGAAAACATGTTCTATTGCAACTTCTCCTCTTGCTATCTGCTCTCGAATCACATATAGCACCTTTGCACACGTATGTTCCTCTTATTGTGACTTAGTTCATTGGCTTGTGCAACAACACCAATATTGTCACAATAATAGTTATTGGAGGATTGTCATTTGGAACAACCCCTAATTCTTTGAGGAATACACGTATCCAAACGGCCACCTTAGTGCTTCTGATGCAACAATGTACTCGGCTTCATTTGTCGAATCAACTATAGTGTCTTGCTGGGAACTCTTCCAGTCTACTGCTCCATTGAGATTGAAAACATATCCTGATTGTTACTTGTAGTCATCCTTATCAGTCATGAAACTAGGGTCAGAGTAACCGGATGCAATAAGTTCTTTTTGTTCACCATAAACTAAGAAATATTCTTAGTTCATCTGAGATACTTAAGAATAGCCTTAACAATACTCCAATGCAATTCTCCTGGATTATTTTTACATCGGCCAACAATACTAAGATCAAGCCCTGTGCTGCCTTCCTCATCTTCGACCCCCACATTGGAGCCTTCTGCCGGTTCACCCTCTATGGCCACCAATGTCACCTCTTCCCCTTCTTCCTCATCAAGTCCATCCAAACCATCGTAGGTGTCAGAAACGAGATTATCACATATTTCTTCCGCATGCACCAGTTCGGATCGATTTCAGATGAACTCAATCCCCCGAAACGAATGATGTATAGTTTTAATGGAATCTTTACCATGTGTTTTTGGTGATGACTTTACACCCACGTGTGGGTTGTCATCCAACGACTCATCTGGTACCAGGTTTAATTTGTCCATGCAGAGGGTTCAACGGTGGAGGCCGACAGACTGACAGAGAAAAGGGGTGTAGATGGAGGGGTTTCAGAGAGCGTGTAGATGGAGAGGTTTCAGAGAGGGTAACGATATAATGGTTTCAGAGTGGGGGCGATGGAAGGGTTTGAAAGAGAGGACGACAGAGAATGGTGGGGTAACGAAGGGTTGCAAACAAGGGGAGGGAGAGAGATGCTCAAAGAAAAGAGAGTGTTGAATATTGGAATGAGGAGCGAGTAGAGAGAGATTAGGGATAACAATAAGGGGTTGGTAGGGCTTTAGGGATAAAAATGGGAAGGCTCAAATGGTAAATGCTACCCCAAAACTTACCAAAAATAGAAAGAAATAAAGTCAGAACTTTATTGCGGGACTTCTCGAAAAAGAAAGTGAGAAGAAATTAATTTCGGGATGTAGAAAGTATACATTTAGTGAATAAAACTTCTGAATGAGTGTAAATTTTCGAAGTATAACAAAATCAAAAGATATTTAAGAGAAATAGAGTGTAAACTCAAGGTTTTATGAAGATGAGATACAATATCTTTTATCATCCCAAAAATGAGATGTAAAATCAAAATTCTCCAAAAAAAATACTGCCTCCGTCCCACAAAACTCGACCAATGTTGACTTGCACGTAGAATAATAAAGTAAAAACTGTGTGGTTGATATTTGTGCAGAGGAAAGAGAAATACTCCGTAACTTTAACCACATATTAGTTACTACCTCCGTCCCATTTTATGTGTCTTAGTTTGACTTGACACGGTTATTAATAAAGTGGTTGAAAAAGTAAAAGTTATGGTTGAGGTTTGAATATAATAAAGTGAATTGATGTAGGCCACATATTTCTTTCAAAAAAAGAAAAGAAGACACTTATTTAGATATAACCCAAAAAGGAAAGTAAGACACAGAATGGAAGGAGTACTTTAAATGAAAATGACAAAGTTGATTTTGAAGGGAGGTAGCATTGATTTTGCAAATGGGATAAGGGTCAGATAGGGCCTCGAACTTGAAAAAAAATGTCAAATAAGGTCATATTTAGGATGCTCTGTCCGGCCGACGTCATTTGGGGTGGTTCCCGGTGGAATTTTTTGATGAAATTTTTTGAGAATCTTATTCATTAAGTCTAGTTACTCCTATCAAATTTGAACTAACAATTCAATCAGGAAGGCATTCAAATGAATTCATGAAGATAACTGCGCTTTTAACGGCACAGTTAATAAGTGAATAAGTCTAGGTCTAAGTCTGGTGAAGTCCGGTCGTAAGTCTAGGTCTAGGTCTAAGTCAATATTTTTTCTCCTATTATTACTTAAACCTAGTGCTGTTATTCGAGCCGAGCCGAGCCCGAGTATCACACATTCGAACTCGACTCGCTCAAATTTCGAGCCTGGCTCGAGCTCGGCTCGTTAAATTTCGATTCTGTATTTGAGCTCGAACTCGGCTCGTTAAAGTAATTTACAACTCGAGCTCGACTCGTTAATATACCTGAGTCAAGCTACTCGAGCTCGAGCTCGACAACTCGAACTCGAAAAACCCATGTATTAAAATGGGCCTAAACTAAACGCCTAAACCTAATGCGGAGTATGTAATAAAATGACAATATGCCCACCTCACGAGCCCTATCGAGCTTCACCGGGTTTTATCGAGTCGAGCCAGCTCGGCTCGTGAACTTTATCGAGTAAACAAAAGAGTTCGAACTCGACTCGTTTTCTCTAATATACGAGTCGAGCCCGAGTTTAATCGAGCCGAGTCGAGCCGAGCTCGAGCTGAGCTCGATTTCCATAACAGCACTACTTAAACCTCAACCTCAACCATTTTTTTGCAAATTAATTTGGGCGAAGCCCGTAAGAAATTGGATAAGCTAGAATTCTGAAATTCTTCTTTCTTCTACTCTGCGGAGGTGGACTCTGGAGCAATACAAAATTGTTCATCAGAAAACCATTTCCAGTAGCCGCCATGACCACAGATATCGCAATCAACCCGGAACCAGTTCAATCATTCTTCTCCAAGCTCGAGGCTCGTAAGGCCCTATTCTCTACCATCACAGACACCCACAAAACCCTAACATCCCACTTCTCCGCGATCGACCTAGCTCTCTCTCAGAAATCCGAAACCCTCGATTCTCGGATCACATCCTTGCGAAATGATACTTTGAATTCCCTCCGAGATTTGCAGAACCGAGAGGACGGAATCCCGGAGCGAGAAATATGCATGGCCGCCCGGGTTCAGGAGCTCAAGGCATCGGCTGTCGCGGAGATCGAGAGCCCGGAGACGGCCCAGAAGTTGAAGGAGAAGAAGGTCTCGGATATGCTTAGATTTTACTGCAGAATAATGGACGCCAACGGGCTCATGAAGTTTCTTTTCCAGCACCGGAGGGATACTGCTGCTTTGCGAGCTGAGGTTTCTGATGCTCTACAAGAATCAGTCGACCCCATGAGGTTACTGCATTGATCATCTATTCTGCTTCTATATGGGAAATGTATAGCATATATTATTATACATAGTATATTATATGCTTGTTAACATTCTCCAAAAAAATTTATTTTGCTCTCTTGCCGTTATTACATTAATTATCATAATTTGTTAAGGTGAAGTTCTATTTTTTCTCCTGTTAGATTAGATGTGACCGGACTTCACCAGACTTAGACCTAGACTTATTGACTTAGACGCGTTTTACTATTGCACTTTAACAGCTGATTTTCATTTTGCAACTTTGATCATATAGGATGCACTATTGCACTCGGGAATTGCACTTTTTGAAGGATTTTTTTTATTTAGTACTTAAATGTCACCGCGTTTTCCATCAATTTAATGCATTTTTGGCACATCTAGAGCCATTAGATATAAATCCGGTGCAACAAATCTATTCTTATTTTCATAGGAATGACACTTCTTACTTATACCAATATATGTGTTTGTATGTGTGTATGTATTTGTGTATGTATGCATGTAAACACATACACATGAATTTAGGAGAATCTAAATTGAAAATGAGTTCTTCCAGGATTCTCATGTTTGGAATTTAATAAAAGTAAAACTCTGAAATCTGAATACATTCATATTTCTTCAAAACTATGTTAGACATAAACATAGCTGGATTTTCTTTTTAAAACTATTTCTGTTATTTGACTTGGGGATAGAGAGGCAAAAAGGAAAGATATTGCTGTGGTGTGGAGAATGTACATGAGTTGTGAGGGGATGAACAAGGGCAGATTAGACATTTCTTAACAAATGTTGAATAAATTTACAATTGCATTTTTTTTAAATTAGGTTATAGTAATATCAGTAAATTCGAATTTCAATGAATTCTACAATATCATTTTACATTCAAACATAAAAATTACGATTTCCAGATGAATTTTAAAAACCTTGGAACTCATTCATACCTAACATGGGGTATATCTTGTACTGGCACAACGCTAGCTTTTTAGAATTGCAAGATTAGGGCTTTGGGCTTCCTGTGTTTTCTTATTTTTGACTGGCTATTTCTGTTATTTGACTTGGGGATAGAGAGGCAAAAAGGAAAGATATTGCTGTGGTGTGGAGAATGTACATGAGTTGTGAGGGGATGAACAAGGGCAGATTAGACATTTCTTAACAAATGTTGAATAAATTTACAATTGCATTTTTTTTTAAATTAGGTTATAGTAATATCAGTAAATTCGAATTTCAATGAATTCTACAATATCATTTTACATTCAAACATAAAAATTACGATTTCCAAATGAATTTTAAAAACCTTGGAACTCATTCATACCTAACATGGGGTATATCTTGTACTGGCACAACGCTAACTTTTTAGAATTGCAAGATTAGGGCTTCGGGCTTCCTGTGTTTTCTTATTTTTGACTGGCTAACTGCTCAGACTGGTTTTGGATGCTGCGGAGGACTATGTGGGAATGAAAGTAGAGGGGAAGGTTGGCATGGCAGATAGGAGGCGAGCATGTTCGATGCTGATTCAGTCTGTTATGCCACTAAAGGAAGAGTGCGGTGTTGTGTCAAGGACCTTAAAGGAAAGGGCTGTATGTGCTCTAGAGAAGTGGAAAGATGTTCTTGGGGATGGTGACAGGAACAGCGGGACCCGGCCAAACGAAGCGTCAATGTTTTTACAGATTGTTGTTGGGTTTGGGTTAAAGCAGGAGTTTCAGGAGGATTTCTTAAGAAAACTGGTTGAGAAATTTTCCTCCAGGAGGGACATGCCAAAACTTGCTATAGCTTTAGGCTTTGGGAAAAAAATACCAGGTGTGCTTCTTCATTGAAATCTCATTTCATGATGAGAAATGCTTACAGATCCGTTTGAATCCAATATAAGTAGCACTCGAGAAAAAAATGAATGGATTTTTTGAAGGTACAAAATCTAAAGGAAAACAATAAGGTAGTTAAATTGCAATACATGTATGATACTCATTTATTTATTATTCATTCTTTTTATCTCATGATCATATCAAGAGTCAAGACTAACTAATAAAGTATATTTAAAGTTAAAAAAATTAAATTCATCAGACTCGACTTATTCGTTAACATTTTGAAAGTTATTACAAACATAAAAATATTGCCTTCTTTCCAAAATGTAAGATGCATTTGGGTTTTGCACGGCTGTTAAGAGAGTAAAGGAGATAATTGTTATTTTACAAGTATAGTGTTCCAAAAGAATGAAAAAGTAGTTTGAGTCCGAAGTAAAGGATGAGAATTAAATAAAAGGATAAGATGGTTGAGTAAAAATTAGTGGAGTTGACATTATGAAAGTGGTCATAATTTTGGGACATACTACGAAGGTAAGTGTACCAAACAAAATGCAACAAAGGGAGCAACATTCTTCAACATTTGCCGATCATTTTTTAGCAGTTACCTAGATCCTTCCAAACTTAATCTAATCGTTTGGAAATTGTAAATGTGACACCAATCTTATGAATATTTTGTTACTTGGAGAGTTGATTTTAATTTTAAAAGAAAGTTGCATCCCCTCTAGAAGGAAAAAACCCAGACATGAAAGATAACAATGGAAGACAAACCAAATGAAAAAAGAAAAAGAATATGCATTACAAAAGCATACAAAGTTTTGAAATTTTGGGTTGATTTACTTTGAACTTTACTTTTTCTAAATATTTATATCTTTGGTTGATGTTATAAAGCTGGAATCATTGATTAAGGTTGGTTGAACTGTTGTTCAGATATTATTGATCAGCTGGTGAAGAATGGGAAGGAGGTTGAGGCAGTATATTTTGCTTCTGAGGCGGGATTAACCAAACAGTATCCTCCGCTTCCACTCCTGAAGGCGTCACTAAGGAACTGCAAAAGAAATGCTAGAGAGGTTTCAAAGAAGGGAAACTTTAGTGCTGCTGCTGTGGTGCGTTCATTTCCTTTCTTGATCCTACTATGCAGTTTGTATACATGTGTGTGCGTATAGACATATGTACACATACAGACACAGAGATACACACTCACGTACATTTATGTATATATATATGTATGTATATGTATTTGGATTGTGTATGTATGCATATCATATGTGTATATCAGTATACGTGTGTGTGTCTATGAAGCATGGAGACTTTCCATGACTCGCGTTTCCGTGTTTTGGAAACTTTGAAGCAATGAAGCATGTCAGAAACTCCAAATTTTTGTTCTGGGTTCGTTTCCCCTTTCCATAATTAAAAGAATTTGGGAAGCCGTTTCCTAAATAATTAGCGCTTCTAGAACTTTGGGATTTCAATTCTTTTTCTTTTTGATGAGACTCCTTGATGGAAAACAGTGTCTTTTTAAATCTTCTCAGTGAATCTTTATGAGATTTATTCTTAGCCTTGGTTTAAAAAAGCGCATCAGAGGCGCAAAAAGGCGAGAGGTGCCTCTGGGCGATAACTTCATCGCATCCAAACATCCCAGGCGGAGCAGAGTCCATAAGGCGCGCCTTTACCTCGCCTAGTGCCGCTTTTTGCGCCTCTTTGAGGCGTCGCCTACTCGCCTTTCACGCCTTATGGAATATGTCCGCTGAACTTCTTCAAGCCTTTTGGCGATTCACGCCTAACGGAATATCTTCCGTTCTCTTTGTTTTTTTTTGTTCAGCTGCGTACGTTTCTTCCTTACGTTCTCTTTGTTGTCTTTCTTCATCTAGTCTTTGTATTCTTTATATTTTTATTTTTTAAATAAATAAAATAATTCAAAATATGTAAATATATAACCATATAACAATCTTCCCTAATCCCAATCGGAATTTTATCAATTTTAAAAAATAATAAATATGGTTTGTCAAATCTTTGAATCTGATTGTTTAACTTTATACTCTTGATACTTTATAAGTTTATTATATACAGAGTAACAATTAGTCAATTATATATGACAGCTTGTTGTTATTAATAATCTTTATATAAAAGTTTATTTACAAATTTACTATTAATTGCTTAGGATTAATAATAAGTATTAACAGTTTATTGTAATTAAATTTACTATTAGTAGAAGTATTTTTTAGGAGAGTGCTTCATGTAGAAGTTCTATAAATATATTTTACCAAAGATATGTGGTTTAGTTCAGTGAGGCGCGCGCCTCGTCGCCTCGCGCCTCGGGTAAATTGATGAATCGCCTCATGCCGCCTCGTGCCTTTTAAAACTAAGTTCTTAGCAACATTTTGATTATTCATAATGCAATGCTTTGCTAGAAATTTATAGTCTTTTAAAATTGAAATTCTTTGCACGATTGTTAAGAGAGTAAAGGAGATAACTGTTATCTTACAAGTATAGTCTTCCAAAAGAATGAAAAAAGCAGTTTGAGTCCACAAGAAGTAAAGGATGAGAGTTAGATAAAAGGCTAAGATGGTTGAGTAAAAATTAGTGGTTATACTTTTGGGACAGACAACGAGGGTAAGTGTACCATACAAAATGGAACAAAGGGAGCAACATTCTTCAGCGTTGGCCTATCTTTTTTAGCATTTACCTAGGTCCATCCAAACTTACTCTACTCGTTTTGGAAATTGAATATTTTGTTACTTGGAGTTGATTTTAATTGAAAAGAAAAATGCATCCCCTCAAGAAGGAAAAAACTCAGACACGAAAGATAACAATGGAAGACAACCCAAAGGAAAAAAGAAAAAGAGTACTTCCTCAATTTTTTTTAATTGCAACACTTTCCTTTTTTGGCAGTTTCAAATTAAATGCAACCCTTCCTCTTTTAGTAACAAAAGTAACTGCAATGACTCTACTGCCCTTAATAAAACTCGATACTCCGTAGAACCCATAACTATCTATCATTCACATAACTTCATCTTCTCCACACAAATTACCCCACCCCCACTTTGGGCCATCCGCCAGTCCTTCACCTTCCCCAATTTCCCACTCCCTGAACTTCTCCTCAGACCTATTCCTTTCTCTTCCACCCCTGTTTCTTTTTCTTATTCGGTCCTCCACTTTTCTTCTTTCTTTAATCTTGTTTTTTTTGTTTTAAATTTGGGGCTCTAGCTAGAACTCTCGAATGGCGATGAACAGATTTAGTTGCTCTAGCTACTTTTGTCAAGATCGAACCTCGCTAGACACGAAGAAACTGTGAATTAGAAGCTCTCGCCTATGGTGAAATTAGATAAGAGTTTGAATCAACAAATCAGCTAAAAATTAAGGTAAGGCCGATACGTTTAAATCAGTAGCAAAAAAATACTGCGTATGAACACTAGATTAGCAGTACACCCAAAGTCTAAAGTCTAAACAGATGTTACGTATAGAAGAAGAAGACAAGGGAATGAGAGAGAAATATTACATCGTAAAAGATGTGAATGATGTAGAAGGGCAAAAAATGGAATGAATTACTTTTGAGGTGTTTCTTAATTTGTGTGCCATGATGCTATGTTGCATCTAATTTGGATCGGAGGATAGTATGCAGTAAACAAGAATACAAAGTTTTGAAATTTTGGATTAATTTGAAGCTTTCAAGCAATGCATTGTGTTATGAATAATCAAAATGATGATAAGAATTAATCTCATAAAGATTCACTAAGAAGCTTTAAAAAGACACTGTTTTCCATCAAGGAGTCTCATCAAAAAGGAAAATATTGAAATCCCAAGTTTTAGTAGCGCTAATTATTTATAAAGGGTCTTACAAGAGTCCTAAAAGAGAATCAAGGAATCAAGGAAACTTACTAAAACTTAATTAAGAAACATACTAAAACTGAATTAGGAAACTTACTAAAACTGAATTTAAAAGCAGTAATGTAAATGTAGTTGCCATGGCGCATGGCGACTTCCATGGCGCACAAGCATTTTTCCATGGCGATGGCGCAAATATGGCGTCGCCATGTGACTAAAAAAACTAAAAATTGAAATATAGACACTATAATTCAATAATTGTATAACACAACCACCAAAATATGATTAAACAAGTTGAATAACAGCATTATAACCAAAACATGTGACATTCAAATAGTTTAAAGTAGTTCCAAAAAACATAATATTCAAAAAAAGTTCCATCCTTTCAAAATATATTAGCTTGTTTTTGTTTGATGATTATTCCATAATCATCATCAATTGTCACACTCCCCAGTCTTCATCATCCTGGTCCTCATCATCCTAGTCTGATAGCAATGGAACATCATCTTCATTCATTTAATTTATATATATATATATATATATATATGACTAATATTCAGGTCCGGCCAGGCCGGACCCCCCCCCCCCCCGTCCGGCCTCCTCCATTTGGGGGCCTTCCCGATGGTATTGTTTGCTCAAATTTTTTGTGTAGGTTCCCCATCAAGTCTAGTTCATCCATACCAAATTTCAGCCAAAAATTCAATCAGAAGGTCGTCAAATGATTTTTGCAAGTTAACTGGTCCGGAATATGTATTTTCCGGACCAGTTAACTTGCAAAAATAATTTGACGACCTTCCCGATTGAATTTTTGGCTGAAATTTGGTATGGATGAACTAGACTTGATGAGGAACCTACACAAAAAAATTGAGCAAACAATACCACCGGGAAGGCCCCCAAATGGAGGAGGCCGGACGGGGCTCTGGTCAGGTATACCTGACCGGAAGACTACTCTCTCTCTCTCTCTCTCTATATATATATATATATATATTTATATATAACTATATAGAGTAATGATCCTGTCCAGCCGGAGGGACAGGACCCGCCGTCCGGCCGTCGACATTTGGGGCCCTTCCCGGTGGAATTTTTTGCTGAAATTTTTTGAGCATGTTCTTCATGAAGTCTAGTTTATCCATACCAAATTTCAGCTAAAAATTCAATCGGGAAGGCAGTCAAATGATTTTTGGAAGTTAACTGCGCAGTTTATATACATATAAAACGCAGTTATCTTCCAAAAAATCATTTGAGTGCCTTCCCGGTTGAAATTTTAGCTGAAATTTGGTATGGATAAACCAGACTTGATGAGGAACATGCTCAAAAAATTTCATCAAAAAATTCCACCGGGAAGGGCCTCTGATGGCCTTGGCCGGACGGCGCCTCCCGTCCCTTTGGATGGACCTGATCTTTTCTGTAACTATATATATCATTTGAGTTCGTCTTATTCGTTTGCTTCCTGCGTGCGACTTGGATATACGACTTTGAGCAACGAATCGTCCGTAAGGTGGATTAGTCTAGTCGTAGCTTTTATTTAAAGCCTGAAGCGTTAATTAAATTAGCTTCCTAAAAAAAATAAGGCCTAAATCTATTTTATCTGGTTCTGGGCCTGCCACTGCGGTTCGACTTGCGAATAAGGCGAGGATTTCTTCGCCAACATCGCGCCTAGACGACTACTGAACGTAGCCTAACGCCATGGCGATGGCGCCCAAATGGCGAAGGCGCAAGAATGGTGTTGCCTCTTGTATCTTCAGCGCCACAATCTATTTTCATGGCGCAGAGGGCCTAAGCGCGCCACATGCCCCACGCGCCATATTGCGCCATCAAGAACCATGAGTGTAAATAAAGGAATTTGCTCCCAAATTCAGCCACTTTCAGTGGTCCAATTGAGCTGATTGTCTCTGGGCCGATCATCCCTTTGGCCAATCCTGCGCGTTTGATATTTTTGACTCCAAAATTGGTCCATTAACAGTGCCCCCCATTTTTTCATTTTTACCCATTGAGAACAGGGTTGTGTGCTGGGGAGAGCTAATAATTCACAACAGCTTTTAGTTATTACGAAATAATGGTAGATTTTGGAGGCTGTTTTTAACCTTTGTGCAGAGAGAGCTATGATGGGGATGGCTTACAATTCACAACATAGATCTTAGTTATTATGAAAAACTGGTAGAATTCGTAGGATGTTACCTCCTGGATTTAGATATGGATTTAGATATGAGCTAGCAGTACTCCATTATCCTCCCTACCTGCACACCTCAAACAAGAATAAAAGAGATGAAAACAAATATTTGTTAGCCTGTTGCTTTCACGTGTTTTCATTATCAAGTTACTAGTTGCGTGCATCTGGATGATAGAATATGCTATTTTAAAATAAAACACTACTTTTTTATCCAGATAATTCTACCGAATTAATTTTGTTGTTGTTGTTAAAGTTCTCACCCACCGTAGTTGCGGCACTGGGGTAATGTTGTTGTTAAGTCCTCTCTACATAAAAGGACAAGAACTACTCCGTACTACTGAATCATTTTTATAGCTTCCAAGCAGGCTTTTTCCGTGAATCATGGAAAGTTATTTATTAGAATCGGATGTGACAACTTTTGCCTACAGGCATATGCTTTTGAAACACTGTCGTATACCTTGCAGGCTCTGTTTGGCAGCCATAATTGGCTTGTTATGCCGGTTTGCAGAATAGGTAATAGCTATTGCCTTTACTTATTTGGCTGAAATGAATGTTACCAAATGATTTTCATTTCATAAAATTCATTAGATATGATCGTTTCAGCCAAATAAGCCTCACAAGACAGACTCTTCGATTAGCTAATTCTTTGGTACCATTACATATCTATGATAGATCTGTTCTGCCATGTTTCTTAAACTTCTTTTCATTTTTAGTGCCATTTTTATTGAAGTAGTTGATGATCTATTTAGGAAAAGGCCAACAGTTTAGAGTTGGACGCCACCAAGGCGATCATGCAGTGTGTGGAAGATCTCAGGCTTGAACCCGAATTACCCATAGATGGGCTTAAAAAACGAGTAGAGCAGCTAGAGAATGCCAGGCTTGAGAAGAGAAAGAGCGCATTGCCTCCAAGCAAGCCTTCAAGAAAGCGTGACCGGGATCGCGATCGCGACCGTGCTCGTGCACGTGCCCATGGCACTACCCTGTCTTCCTCCCGCCCACCTAAAGCTGCAAGGTTTTCTACTCCTTCAGGTTCCACCTATCCTCTTAGAAGTACTCACCGAACACATTTAGCTCCACCCCCCGCAGTGGCCCGATACCCCGTTGGGTCGTATAGTTACCCGCCAAATCACGGGGGCGTATATGATGGGCATGTCCCGCCATCATACATGCCTCTTTATAACGACACCCATCCACAAAGCCCCGTTTCGTACCCGAAACAGTATGGATACCCTACCACAGATGTCACATCTGTACAGGGTGGTGGTGTTGGTGGTTCCGGACATTACGGAGTTCAGGGAAGCTATGCAGAGAGTCCAGTTGCGGCCACACAACAATATGGGTACGCTCCTCCACCAGAGGTCGCGGGAGGTGTTGCACTACGGGGTGACGTTACTGCACACTATATCAGAACAGCGGCCACGGGAGGAACCTACGGGGGAAGTACAGCCCCGCCGGCTTCTCAACATTATGGATATTCTCCCCCGCGGGTAGTACAAGATGGGACAACAGCTACATATGAAGCACCAGGGGCCCCACATGGTCTGCCAAGTGAGTATGCTGCTGCTGCATATGATTATGGGGCCGCAGCCGCGGCTTCTATGACTGCGTACCCAACAAACTCTTACCAAAACCAACAGCAGCAATTCTAAAGAGGCATGAGGAGGAACCTATAGCTGTCCACATTTTGATGTGCTTATTCTGCTGTTACATGAATACATGCCGTGAAACCTAATATCTATTGGTAATTCATGAGTTCATATGACAATTATTGCTATCAAATGATTCTTTCTTTGGTAATATAATCCAACTCTGATTGCCCGGATATGGTGCCCGAGAATTGATAATTTAATGTTTGATGAACGTTATGACTACATTAAAAATAGGGAAAACTGACAATTTAGTCCTCGTACTATCAAGAAAAAGTCATTTAGGTCTTTATTTTTTTTTAAAAATCAATCAAATTGCTTTACTTTAAAAAAATATTCAATTGGGTCAATTAGCAGTCTACCCGCCATGTCAACAGGCCACATGTTGATGTGGCACACATGTGACAGCCCAGTCAGCAACGACTTTGTTAATGTGGTGTACACATGGAAGTCTAGACTACCACATGTGCGCACACGTCTGCGGGTGACCTGCTGACGTGGCGGACAACCTGCTAATTGACTTGATTGAACATTTTTTCAAAGTTCGGGATTAAATTGATTTTTTTGAAAGCATAAAGATTTAATTGACTTTTTCGTGATAGTACGAAGATCAAATTGACAGTTTTCCCTTGAAAATAACTTCGAAAGGCATTGTGCATGATGGTAGGTAATTAATGCTAAAATCTTAAATCTTTATACATATATAGATACTACGATTTGAAACCAAATAGATTATTTTTTGTCCAACAAAATATCACTATAATAGTACTCCCTTTGTCCCTTAAAATTCTTCACATTTACCATTTTGGAATGTTCCATTTTTTTTTTTCTTATTTCTCTTTTTGGAAAGTTTTGTGTAGGAGTAAAGGGTCAGTTTGGTCCTCGAAGTTGCAAAAAAGGGGTCAAATAAGTCCTTATATAGAAGATTTTGTCCAGACGTGCCATTTGAGGTGGCTCCCGGTGGATTTTTTTTATAAATTTTTTTGAGCATTTTATTCATTAAGTCTAGTTTACTCATACCAAATTTTAGCTAAAAATTCAATCGGGAAGACATTCAAATGAATTCTTGAAGATAACTGTGCTTTTAACGGCACAGTTATCTTCAAGAATTCATTTGAATGTCTTCCCGATTGATTTTTTATCTGAAATTTGGTATGAGTGAACTAGACTTAATGAAAAAATACTCAAAAAATTTCATCAAAAAAATCCACCGGGAGCCACCTCAAATGGCACGTCCGGACATAATATTCTATATAAGGACTTATTTGACCCCTTTTTTGCAACTTCGAGGACCAAACTGACCTTTATCCCTTTTTGTGTAGCTAACATTTATTTATTTTTTTCCTATTCAATCACAATTATAGATTTTCACTTTATTCTCACTTTCTTAAACTCTGAATCAAGTCAAATTGAGAAGGATTTTATGAGATAGAGAGTAAAACAATTGTGTACAAATTAACAATTGAGTTTTTGCCACTTTTAATCCTCTGATAATTATGTCACTGACACTTTTGATACTTGACTTTAAGTTTTTTTTTTCACTTTTAGACCTTCGACTATTATGCGAAAGATACTTTTGGTACCCGTTTTTGAAAATTTCACATTTGATCATTCGACTTTCATAAAAGTGACATTTTTGTCCTTCAACTATTATAATAGTGACGTTTTTAGTCTTCCACTTATCGTGTCAAAATCAGTGGAAGGACTAAATATATCGATTTTATAATACTCAAGGGACTAAATGAGAGAAACTTTGAAGTCGAGGACTAAAAGTGTCTCTCACACAATAGTCGGAGACCTAAAAATGGAAAAACTGAAAGTCGAGTACCAAAAGTATCCTCGACGGTAAACGGAAAAAACTCTTAACAATATATATGTTGTTTTACATGCGTAATTAATCTTACATGTGAAAAACTTAAGGATAAGTAACTTTTTGGACATGTTTGGTAATCAGTGCTTAGCGGTTAGCAGATTGTGTTAGAGAATAATTGATATCCGATTTAATTGATCAATTTGTCTACCAGATTAATTTGGCGAGTTGTGTAATGATGTTTAGAAAGTAGATATTCCGACCTGGAGGTTAGTAGTAAAGACATACTACCTCCGTCCCAAATTGATTTGCAAAATTGACTTTTCTTGGTCAAACAGTTTCATTTTATTCGCTTAATTAGGATGTCAATTTTTAATTATATTCTAATTTGGAGTATACAACTTTGAAGAAATTTTAATGTAGTTTCTGAATATATAAATTTTAATTATTAAAAATTAAATTAATTATCGATACGGAGCATTGACTTTTATTACTGGTTGACCAAAAAAATGTTGACTTTGCAAAATAATTTGGGATGGAGGGAGTATATGGCACTAATTTCATACTAATTAGGTGCGCGTGCGTGCGTGTGCGCGTGGGCACATGGGTGTGGGTGCGCGCGCACGTGTATGCGCGAGGTGCGCATGTATGTGTGAGTGTGTGTGCGTGCGTGTGTGTGTGTGTGTGTGTGTGTGTGAGTCTGTGCGCGGCGCGCGTGCGTCTGTGTGTGTGGGTGCGCGCGCGTGCGTCTGTGTGTGTGTGCGTGCGCGCGTGCATGTGTTTGTGCCTGTGCGCGTGCACGTGCGCGCACGCGCATGCACGTGCTGTGTAAATTAAATATTACGTAATATATCATACATGTACAGTAAATTTAATATATCAAAATTTATTAATTTCATCAAATAGAACTCTCTTTCAACATCACGAATTAAATATATTTTATACAATTAATATTTAATCCAGTTCCAATATTTCAAATTAAATACTACCTCTGTCCCGGTGAACATTGTCAAGTGCAAAGTAGATGAGAATTAAAAATAGTAAAAACTATGTGGTTGAGATTTGTGCAAAGGAGGGAGAAACGTGCAGAACCACAAATTAGTTGCTTTAATAGGAAAGTGACAAAGTTTTTTGGGACAATAAAAAAGGGAAAGTTGGCAAAGTCCAATGAGACAGACAAAATAGGGGGGCCTATTTGACCCTTTTTCTCTATAATTTATATATATTCAAAATTTAAATATATTTAGTATTATTTTATGAATTTAAATATGATTATTAACGGACAGAATACTTGTCAAATCATTCGAGCACGAGCCCATTAACGAGTATCACCTAAAATTTTAAATTCAAGCATATTTATCGAGCGCTCGGTTCGAACATCGAATGCCTATGGAGCTGAACACGAGCTTCATTTATAAAGCTCGCCGAGCTTCGAGCTCGAACCCGAACGCCACTAATTCCTTATCGAGCCGAACTCGAGCTTTGGGTGTTCGGGTTCGGCTCGTTAATAGCTTTAGTTTTGGCTAAAGTTACCATAGAGAACCATTTTAATAATATTTTTAAGTATTTTTTTTCTTTATTTTATTAATAAAGTACCCTCGTCCCATAAAACTTGGTCAATGTTGAATTGCACGTAAAGTAATAAAGTAAAAAACTTTGTGATTTAGCCACACATTTGTTACTTTAAATGAAAATGACAAATTTTTAGGCCGACCATTGAAGGAAAGTTGGTCATGTTTATGGGACTGAGGTGGTGTATGTTATACATATTTTTTCACAAATCAGCAGAATCAACCAATTCAGTTAATTCGAACAGAACTTCATATATTTCAATAGAATAAGCCGATTCTACCGACTTTAGTGTTATCGAAGGCACCTATAGAAGTGTTTGGAATTGATTATGCTTGTTTTTTTTTTTAAAAAGGCAGAATTAGTTTTCAGAAGATAGTCTTTCCCAGTTTCTAAAAAACTATTTCTGGGACATTTTGAAACCCTTAGAAGTACTTTTGCACTTTTATCTAAATATCCCGACATTCCCCCCCCCCCCCCCCCCCCTCTTTAAAGGAACCGAAGTAGTTTTAAATAGTAAATCCAAATACCATATATATCTCATATGTATTGTACTCGTAAATAACTATCTTGGAATATTATCAATTTAGGACCTGAAAGATAGATGAATTATCAATTCAGGACCTGAAAGATGAAATTGAAAGATGAAATGTATCGATGTAGGACTCGATAGATGAAAAACTATCAATTCAGGACTTGAATGATCGAAAACTATCAATCTAGGACCTAACTTGTCATGAATTTTATTATGATTTTTTATTTTTAAAATTTTATTTATTATTTAGTTTTATTAAATTAATAAACTTTTATGAAGAAACTATTATAAAAATTAGCACTGAAATTAATAAAAATTCAAAACCTATGAAATTATAAAAGAGAGCTTGTTATATTAAAATCGAGAACACATTACAAGACAACTTTAAGACAGAATTTACAGATCCAATTGTGAATCCTAGGAGTAGACTTAGAGTCAACCACCTCATTCAAAGTAACATGACTCGCTAAACCTGAAACGAGCAAATTTAGGCGTAAAACGATCGGAACCGAAACCCTGCCAATAAAAAGTGTTGAGGTTTATTCCTTCAACCCTTGGACCCAACACGTAAGCCCAAAGATTTCGAGTGGAGTAAGTGTAAGAATATTTAGCCCGACAACTATGAGATGGATCAGGAAACAAAAATAATAGCAGGCAATGTAAGTAGGTATTATTAACTTCGTAATAACTCCCCTAAGTACAATCTACTCGCTAAAAAGGGCACGTCAGCCGTTCGTCTTACAAGGCACTCGGAAATGCTGTAAGTAAGAATGCTGAAGCTAGTATGCTAAGAATAGAAAGTTGCCAATCCTTTACAATGAAATAAATGCTACTATTTATACCCGCCAATGGGCAGTTAGTCCTGATGATGTGGAGGATTGTTAGTGGCTGTGGCCCAACCACCAAATCTCTAGCATTAAATGCGCTTCCCGCCAGAATCTGGGTTCCCCGCCTAATTAATGACCACGATCGTCTGGTAGAACCGGGGGCCGTTCGTCTGCAGCCCTTCCTGAGAACGTAACAATCCCTTGGGCCTGGGCCATCTACGGAGATGGGCCTCGGCTGACGACGTTCGTCACGGATGTGCTAACCGACCCTCGGCCAGGACCTTGTGCCGTTATCCCGGAGATAGACATTCGTCCTCATTCCTTCAGGCCAGGGCCATCCGTGGGCTGGGCGACGTACGTCGGTTTGGGGGTGATTGGGCCGGACCCCTGCTCGGGGCCATTTACCCAACACAAGTCCCCCACTTCTGATGTTCCAAGCGTGCGTGGGACATAAGGAAGTATGCTGTGCCTCCTGGAGGATGCCCGTCTTCCGTACTTGCCCACGGGGAACTGGACGTACCTGATCGAAGGGCACCCCGAGTTGGGCGACCGCGGGTGAATCGAGGTGGCGGCTGGCGGCGAAACGGTGCGACTCCCGATGGGAAGTCATCATTACGCGTATCGCTTCCCCAGGTTGGATTCCCGCCAGGGTACGCTCCTCGCCACGTGTCGCTTCTTCATTCGTCCCCCCGGGGGTGCCTCCACTATAAATACCAGAAATCCCCTGATGTCTAGGGTTTCTGATTTCTGGCTTTTGCTTTCGAGTTCTCTTGCCGCTCTTCGGGTTTTTCATCACAGCTTCCCAAGTCCATCTTCAAGTTTTTTTAAAGGTAATTATTCCTCTTCATCCTTGCCCTTTCTTTTAGTGATGACTTCTATGGAGATCTCTTCAAGTTCGAGTTCTGGTTCTTCGGGCTCCGGCTCTGATTCTTCCTCCAATTCTGGCTCCCGTTCCTCCGGAAAAACCAGTATTTCCGGCAACCCAGGTTCGGCGTCCACCGTAGGGACCATCCATGCCGACGGTGAGCAAGGCGCCGACATTTCCGAAGGTGCCATTGAGGCAGTGCCTCTGAATGAACGTGCGGCCGGATATGATTCCGCAGATGAGGCTCAATCTGGCTCTGATCTGGAGGTGCACGATTTAGGTATCCCCATGGATGTGCAGAGGCACATCTGCAAGATTAAGAGTGTTTTAGAACACAGGCAATCCCTCTCTAGCGTCGCCATGAACAAGATTGCTTCCTTCTTCCCCCATCCGTTCGTCTTTAGCCATAGCGGGGCTGAACATGCCATGCGGCGACGGGCGGGGATGATCATCTTGCATGTGGACTCCGTAGAGGCCGGTCTGCGGTTTCCCCTCCACCCTTTTTACGTGGAGTTCTTCAACTGCTACCAGGCGGTCCCGGCGCAGTTCATGCCCAACTCTTATAGGTTTATCTCCGCATTCCTCGTGCGCTGCTCGTCCGCGGAAGCCGATATATCCCTGGATCTGTTTCACTACTTTTACCGGGTCACCCCGCAGAATTCCGACGGTTATCTGAGTGTGGCCGCTCGTCCGAAGAGGAAGCTGTTCGAGCACTATCCTTCCTCCATCCATGATTGGAAAAATAGGCTCTTCTTCCTTAGATATGATGGTCCTCCCCTCCCAATCCGCTGGAACGGTTACCCCCCGAAGATTGAGTCGCCGGTGCTGACGGACGAGCTGGAGGCGGAAGTTAACAAAGTCCTGGAAGGCGGCATTCGCCCCATAGGAGAATACCGGACCCCCGAGGCACTCTCTGAAGCAGGCATAGGTACCGCCCGTGTTCCTGGATTCCTTCCCCCCTTGGACGCTCGTCTCGGGGCACGGGCGGTCCTGTCCTCTGAGGTGGGTGTTCCTCCCTATCCCTGTTCGTCTTTTCACATTCTTGTATTTCTCTCTTGCAGGTCTTCCTCTTACCGCCGACCAAATGGACAACGCCGAGTGCCTAAGGAACAGGAAGGCGAAGATGGCTGCGGCCAAAGCGGCCAGGGAGGCCGCCGCCCATGGTGCCGGATCGTCTGCCTCTGACGCCGCCCGTCGGACTGCAGATGGTGAGCAGCATCTGATTGCCACCCTCCTGAATGAGGGGGCCATACCCCATCATGCTGAATCTGCTCTCCCCCCCGCCGGTCGTCACAACGAAGGTGGTTCCCAAGAAGGGGGGCGAGAGGGCCCCAGAGAAGAAGCCGAAGAGGGGGCGAGACTGCTCTTCCTCCGGCCCCATTGTTGAAGATGCCAACGGTCTCTCCCTGAGCCGGCCGGCGGAAGAGCTTTGGAGGGAGCTTGGGGCCAAGGCCGGCCTCGAACTGGCCCCTCGGTCGTCTTCTGAAGCGACCAGCGCCGCTCTGGCAGCGGCCATCCAGGTATTGTCGCGATTCGACTCATCTTGTCTCCCTGACGCCCGTCGTTTCGTCATCTAACTTTTGTTCATCCCATTCCTTACAGTCAGGGCTGTTGGTGCTGCAAGCCGAGGCTGCCAGGGAGGCCGCCCTGCAGGAGGCGAGGAGCAAGGCTGATGCCGCCATATTGAAGGCTCGGGAGGTCGCCCGTCGGGCAGAAGAAGAGGCTGCCTCAGCCAGGGAGGAGCTTCGGTCCCTTCGGGCTGAAACTGGCGCCCAACTGGCCTGTCTGGAGAAGGCCGGCTTCAAGCTTATGCCGGTGCTTCCGGCCCCCAAGGGTGCTAACCCGGAATGGTGCGTCGATACCTCCGGCTACCGGAATACTGGCGAGTTCATGGACTCGGCCAAGGATTTCTGCGCTGGGGCCTTTGGAGACGTGTTCTCCCATGCCCTGGAGAAGGTCCCGGCGAAGGATCGTCTGAAATACGGCGTGCGGCTAATGGGAAGCTCCCCCTTATCGCGCCAATTCCTTTATGATTCTGCTGATAGCGCCTTCGCCGGTGGCTATAACGAAGGGGTCAAAGCCTTTCTCCCCATCTTTGAGAAGCTTCTGGGCCCTGACGTCAACCCGGCCGATCATACGGAAGAGGACCTGCTGATCGAAGCCCTGGGGAAAATAAAGCGGGATAGGCGCCGAGCGGCGGCCATAGCCATGGGGGATATCCCGGAACCCCCAACCCCTGAGCCCGAGCCTCAGGTGGAAGAGCACACTCATGCCGGGAGCCGGCCATCGTCCCCCCATATGTGCTGATTTATATTTTAGTCTAGCCTTCCTTCCGACTGTAGCGTGTAGACTTGTACTTTCCAGCCGATAGTGCTGAAGAATAAAAATCCATGTTTTGCCAAAGTTCGTCTTTATGCCGTGTTGCCGTATTCGTACCTTATTCTTTCAATGTACTCCCGCCGTACGTAGCCAGCTAACGCGTAGCGTACTCGTAGTTTTTTTTTTTTTTTTTTTTTTTTTTTTTTTTTTTTTTTTTTTTTTTTTTTTTGCTTTGCCGCCGGGCGTCGTCATCTCCTGGCTTAGACGCCCGTTGCCTAGCCAGGCCTCTCGCACCTTGGGCACCCGGGCCCTTCGGCCGTATGCTTTCGAGCTAATCCTGCCCTCGCCACCTTAGATAGCCGATTCACAGACTAACAAGGCGTCGCTATCTGTACGAGTTGCCTTGAAGGACGGCGGCACCGTGTCCGACGATGTTCGTCTGGTGTTGCCCTCCCAGTTCGTGGGGATCCCGGGTTCTATGGTCGACGTCCGTCGTCCGACCCGAATTCTAAGATCCGTCAGCGGCCTCTTGGCTTCCCCAAAAGCGCGGGGCTCGAGGTGCCTTCCAAAGTTATTGCTATGCCGGTGTTATTTGGACACGTGCCAGCCTGCGGTTGGTGTCAATCTGCGACATTTCGCTTATAAGTGCCCAAATACCACGAGATCAGTCATCGTCGATTCATTTAGTCCATACGCTGCGGAAATATATTCTCTCTCTAGCAACTTCTACGAGCCGGATTTATCCCCGGTGCCCAAGCAAAAGGTACCGTTCGTTGCCATGTCCTCCGAAAATCGCCTCGACGATGGTTGTTCTTCTGGTGATGACTTGGAATATTATGAGCGGGGAATGCCGCCCTGGCCTCCCCGTTATAGCCTCAGCTTTTCGTACGTTCGGCGTCAAGTCCAACGCCTGACGAATGCTGACAAGCGTCTGATCAGCCAATGGTTCTACCCTCCAAGGACCTACGACGATCGGCGTCTGCGCAACCCCATGCGCCATCTGCCCGGCTATGTGGTGGTCCACTTGGATTCGGTGATAGCCGGGCTGAACTTTCCCTTACATAGCTTCCACTTGGAGCTCTTCAGGGCCCTTGAGATAGTGCCTGCGCAGTTCGTCCCTGCCGCCTATCGGATAATCGCTGGCTTCATTATTAGATGCCACAGCGTCGGTGTGACCCCCACCGTGGACCTACTGCACCATTTCTTCCGGTTGTCCCCCTTCGGACGCACGGGGTATCTGACCCTGATCGCCCGTCCGTCCATGGTCCTATTCTCGAACAATGCTGGGAATCCGGATGGTTGGGAAGAGCGCTTCTTCCTGGCCGGAGTAGGCTCACCGATGCCATTCTCTGACCGGTGGAATGCTTACCCGGTGAAGACGATCCCGCCGCCCATGACGGACGAGGAGCTCGGATATGCCAAGCGCATAGCCGGACTTGGCATCCAGAACCTCCGGTTGCTGGTGGCCGAGCCTTTTAAAGCTCGGGCTGGGTTAGGTGCGTCCGTTTGTACTTGTATTGTTTTAACCTCTCTCCACTGTTATGGCTCTGAACGTCTTGGTTCCCTTTGTGCAGGAATTTTTCCCTCCACGTCTACGATGAGCCGAGTCAACGCTGCTTCGACTGCCGCCGGCCGTGAGCACAAGGGGCATGACAAGCCTGGGAAGCCGCTCGTCCCCAAGGTCGAACCTCGGGTGACCAGGGCACGAGCTGATGACGCTTCGGGGGCCGGTGCCTCCAAGAGGCCACGTGCTGAGGGCACCTCCTCCAAGGCCATCATTGTGGCCGATGACTCCGATGGGGAGCCCGGAAGTCCCCTCAAGCGGAAACCCACTTCCCGGCCCCATCTTCGTGCTTCTCCCCCGCAGAATTCCGACGTCCGCCGTCTCCGGGACGATGATGCCCAAGCTGCCAAGGGTTCTGACGACGCTCGTCCAAGCTTGCCTCCCGAAGCCAGTGGGTCTTCTCTTGGACTGATTGAGTTCTCCAGGGTTGGTCCCCGCAAAGAGTCAATGATGCTCTTCGGCCAGACAGCGTCCTCCATCTGGTGTGGGCTGAATCTCAAGGTTCCGCAGGACTTCGCTGCTCAGGAGGCCCCTGAAGATCTCTTGGAGTGCGGCCAGAGCACGCTGGATAAGGCCGGGCTCTACTTCCATAGGGCTCGGATGGCCTTCGAGCGCCAGGGCAGGGAGATGGCTAGAGTACGGGCTGAATGTGATGCCCTTCTGAGGAATGCAAAAGGCAGGGCTGGCACCCTTCAAGAGAAAGCCGAGGCCTATGATAAGCTCGTTCAGGAGAATGCCTCTCAGAAGGAGCTTCTCAAGAAGCAGGAGGCCGAGCTCGTGGATCTCCGCAGCCGGATGTGGGCCGTAGAGCAGGCCAAGGTGGAGCTTCGCCGGACGGGCATGGACAACCATGTCCCTATTTATGAGGCCGATGTTGCCAAAATCAAGGAGTCTGGTTCCATTGCCTTCCAGAAATCCAAAGCTTACACTGGTGCCATTCACACCATGGCCATGAAGTTTCTCCCGAGGCTCGTCGGAGAATTTCTAGCTACCTGCCCGGATGCCTACCTGGATGGGGTCAAATTGCTCCAGGCCACCCCCACCGGACGGCGTTTCCTTGATGATCTTGCCGATGATACCTATCGTAAGGGCATGGTTGGGCTCGTAGCGGAGAATCTCCCCACGTTCGAGCGTCATTTCGGGGCTCCTTTCGATCCGGAGGCGGCTGGCTTTGATGTTCTGATGGCGGATGCTCATGCGGGGGCCCTCGAGCTGCTGAAGGAGCAGGCGGAAGCCAAAGCTAGTGAAAAATCCAAGCAGGCTCTTTCCAAAGTTCCAGCTCCGGACGTCGATCGAAAGTGATTCTCTGTTCATGACCTTGTACTTGTACAATTTTTCCCATTATTTTCACTATCTTGTAATTTTCCGGCCAAAAGTGTCGAAGAATAAAAGATCATTCTTTGCTCCTTGCTCTTCTGGCATTTTTTTTTTTTTTTTTTTTTTGGAGTCTTTCAGTCTTCGTTCGTCCTTGGTCCCTGGTCCCACCGGCGTCCCTACTTCGAGGAGACGTTCGGCGTCCGCCGACATCGCAAGGATGAACAGGTTTATCTACATCGAGATTCCCCCCTTTTTTCGTTCGTCCGTGGTCCTTTTAGCCTTACCGACGTCTCTTGCTTCGAAGAGGACGTTCGGTACCCGAGGACTCGCAGGGACGAACAGGTCTACCCTCACGGGTCCCCGACTTTGTTACCCCACGTCCATCGATCCATGGTCGTTTGTGGGATAAACAGGTTTATCTTGGCAGGCTCCCTTGGTTCGTCTAGCCCCCTCCGCGTCTCTACTAACCTCTACACCGAGAGGCGTTCGTCTTCGGCGGTTGGAGAAGATCTGGCACACCCGGGCAAGATTCCCTTCTACATAGGAGCTCCTCTCCTCTTCTCCCCATTTTTTTTTTTTTTTTTTTTTTTGGGGGAGGCAATCCATACTCTTCGTTCGTCATTGGTCCCTGGTCCTACCGGCGTTCCTACTTCGAGGTAGGGGGTGGCAGCGGGTCGGATTTAAACCGGGTGGAGGCTCATCCGCGTCCACCCGTTAATTTTTTATACTCCACCCACCCGTCCATCATCCATTAAAAATGACATCCACATCCAACCCATCCATCTTGAACGGGTTATCGGGTGGATCGGGTGAGTTGCGGGTGAAATATAAATGGTCAAACTTGAGACAATAAATAAATTACAAAGAGAAATCATGACAATTAAAAACCAAAAATTAAGAATTCATTGTAAAATAAAAACAAAAACATGAGCAATTAAGTATATCACAATCATTAATTCACTGCGCGGCTACTCCGTTGTCCCTCGGAAATCGGAATCTCGGCTTCTCAGAGTATTTGTCTAGGCGTCCACCTCCAACTCTCCAAAATAGGGCTAATGAGATTAGCCGATTAGTAATTCAGGATCATATACTCCGTAATATGTATATGGAGTAACATATATACGTAATTAAGTATCTAACTATGTATTATTATAATTATATTAACTATTATTATTATTATTATTATTATTATTATTATTATTATTATTATTATTATTATTATTATTATTATTATTATTATTATTATTATTATTATTATTATTATTATTATTATGATTATTATTATTATTATTATTATTATTATTATTATTATTATTATTATTATTATTATTATTATTATTATTATTATGATTATGATTATTATTATTATTATTATTATTATGATTATGATTATTATTATTATTATTATTATTATTATTATTATTATTATTATTATTATTATTATTATTATTATTATTATTATTATTATTATTATTATTATTATTATTATTATTATTATTATTATTATTATTATTATTATTATTATTATTATTATTATTATTATTATTATTATTATTATTATTATTATTATTATTATTATTATTATTATTATTATTATTATTATTATTATTATTATTATTATTATTATTATTATTATTATTATTATTATTATTATTATTATTATTATTATTATTATTATTATTATTATTATTATTATTATTATTATTATTATTATTATTATTATTATTATTATTATTATTATTATTATTATTATTATTATTATTATTATTATTATTATTATTATTATTATTATTATTATTATTATTATTATTATTATTATTATTATTATTATTATTATTATTATTATTATTATTATTATTATTATTATTATTATTATTATTATTATTATTATTATTATTATTATTATTATTATTATTATTATTATTATTATTATTATTATTATTATTATTATTATTATTATTATTATTATTATTATTATTATTATTATTATTATTATTATTATTATTATTATTATTATTATTATTATTATTATTATTATTATTATTATTATTATTATTATTATTATTATTATTATTATTATTATTATTATTATTATTATTATTATTATTATTATTATTATTATTATTATTATTATTATTATTATTATTATTATTATTATTATTATTATTATTATTATTATTATTATTATTATTATTATTATTAT